AGTCACGGTCTGTCTTGTTCTGGTTCCACTGGCACTGCTGAAAGAGTTTCTCCAAGATAAATTAGGATGAGAATGCTGCTGTGCCCTGACAGACCTGCACTTCCAAATCCTCTCTGCTCCTTAGAGCAGATGCAAGAAGGTTTGGGGAGGAGGGCAGAGCTCTTTTGGTGGCTAAAAGTAATATTCATGTATTTCCTCAAACACTTGTTCTTACTGCCACGTTTTCCAGGATTTGATTATCTTTCCTGATGATTGTGAATTCAAGAGGGTACCTCAGTGCACTACGGGCCGTGTGTATGTATTGAAGTTCAAGGCAGGATCAAAACGACTCTTCTTCTGGATGCAGGTTTGTGGAGAAGCCAATAATAAAGGTCTTGGAACAAAATACTTGCAGTTTGCCTCGTACCACCAAGAGCAACTTTCTTTCAGGAACCAAAGACGGACAAGGATGAAGAACACTGTCGTAAGGTGAACGAGTATCTCAACAATCCCCCAATGCCTGGTGCTTTGGGTGGAAACGCAAGCGGAGGCCACGAGCTCTCGGCACTGGGAGGTACAGTCTATTCTCTGCTCCTTCGTGTCAGAGGCTTTTCTAAAATTTATTTTTAGAATGGGCACTTGTAGTTCCCTAAGAAGATGTGGAGGGTGAGCTGGGGACAACGTTAATACCAGAAGCATGAACGTGCTTTTAGCAAAATAAACTGTGCTGTTATAAGAAGTGTAGGCTGAAAGTTAAGACTGCCAGAAGAAATCTCTCTTTGTTTCTAGTAAATTCTCTGGAGTCTTACCTCTTTATGAAGCCAAGTTGCATTTATCTTTTATGAGCATCATGAATCAGTAAACACTTGAAACTGTTTTTTCCATACAGAATGTGATGCCAATTAATCTCCTGCTGTTTGAGCCGGAGTGCTGTGAAAAAAAAACAACAAACCTATGTGAATATGTTGTGTTTCAGAATGTTTTTGTTTTTAGGTGAGGGTGGCTTGCAAAGCCTTCTTGGAAACATGAGCCATAACCAGCTCATGCAGCTGATCGGACCAACGGGCTTAGGAGGACTTGGTAAAATGCTTTAATATCTTTATGCCAAAATGGTATTTTCTCCTGCCAGGTTAAATCTTACCTGACAATATTTTGAAGTGGTGCTATTGATTTGAATAGCGCTGCTTTCACGTGAGAAAGCAAGGCCCTGCCTCAAAGATGAGCTAAGAGGCAAAAAAAGGCTGCAGGAAACGGAGGGTACCAGATTCTACGTGGCACTCATCTTAGGGCTTGATCTGCAAGGAATAGCGGTTCTGCTCCTTGCTCCACTGAATCTTCTGCTTTTTTTCCCTCCTTTTTTCCACCCCTTCTTTTTCTCCTAAATATTTACTGGAGCAGGGACTGAAAACCAGGGACTCATCCCTGGTGAATGTCCCAGTTACCAAGCTGGGGAGTTGCTCGTGTTGTCTCTGATCCAGTGAATATTTGTGTGCGAGGTAGAAGGAGTTCAAGAGGAAGGCTGGAGCGTGCCCACCCCACAGCACTCTCTGGTCAGAGCAGTGAGGCTCAGCTTAGGGCTTTCTCTCCTGGGCAACACTGGGGAGAGCTGGAATCACCACGCTGTTTTTCTGATGGGGGTGAGGGGTGTGTTGGAGTCCCTGCTGTGGTCTGTTCCTATCACTATCCATGCTCCAAGCCCAAGACAGCAGTTCCTGAGAAGTCAGACCCCCGAATGGAAGTAGCAAAGTAACACTTAGCAGGTGGCAGTGACTGAGGTTCTATGTTTAAGCTCCAGGCTTCATTTTTGTGGATCTAGCTCATGTCTTTTTAGCTTCAGATGCAAATCTCACGTTGGTGGATGTTCAGATGCAAATCTAATGTTAGTGTTAGAAGATTCTGGCTTTTTAGGATGTGTCTGGAAAAGATCTTTCTTGAAACTTCACGTGATTCCTGAGACTGTCTTCCTCTTCATCTCACCACTTCTCAGCAGCTCTTCTTTGCCTTTACATCTGTCTATAGGACAGCTTGACATGAAGCTCACTGCAGTAACACAAAGAAAACCATCTGCTTGCCTCTGCAAACGGTGGTGGTGGTGAATCTCTGTGCATCTCTTCCCCCAGTAGCATCTTGTTCTTCTGCATCTGGTTTGCATCTCTTTCAGGATTCTGCCTTTGTTGCAGAGCTTCTGTAACAGAGGAGCTTCCTCACTCCTGGGTCAATGTTCCTGGCAAGGACAAACTGAGTAGAGTAGCGTGTGGTACAGCCTGGTTAGCTTCACCCTGCTGTTCCTGCTGCCGTGGAAGCTCTGACTAGTGAACACAAGTGTTACAGGCCACAGTTCCATAGGAGTGGGTCCTATACAAAGGAGCAGCTGGTGGCTGGCTCTGACCTCCAGTGCTCTGCAGTTTATGACGTGTTTGCTCATGGAGCACTGTCCTTCTATCCTCTGCTTGCAGATAGTTCCCAAAAGGTGGGTGATGAATGCAGGTGCTTGGGTAGGGACCTGTATCGAATTAGATGTGGTACAAGAAACCGTTGGATGGGAGGCATGTGGTGGAGTGTTCATCTGATGTGGCTCAAAGCAATTGTAGGGACAGTCAGTCACTGACAGCTCCAGTGCACCCAGAAGCCAGGCCTTTCCCCAGCTCTTTGTGGCTGATGTTCTTGATGCTGTGATAAGTCCTCGCTAGTTGGGCTGGGCGGGTGAAGGAGGCTGGTTCTGATTTCTTTTGCATTGGCTCAAAGGCTGAGGGTTGGTTTCCTGATCGCTCCTCTCCTGGGAGCACTTTGTACCTGTGGTTTGCTCTGCCTTTGCTCTGGCCTCTGAAGTGTTTAAGGATTCAGCTGATTCTCCTGCCTCATCTCTGTGTTAGGTTTGAAGCTGCAAAACCCAGGTGTATGGGGAGACAGTGGTGGTGACCCAAAGGCTGCTTCTCTAATCTTCTCCTGAGGGCCTTGGCTTTAAAGTTTAGAGGAAAGTTGGATTTTGGGGAACCAGTAGATAAGAGGAGCGGGTTATGTTACAGTGATCATGTATATACAGCACAAGCCAAAGTAATTTTATCCTTGTGTGCATCTAGAAATTGAGTCACTCCTAAAACGTGCAGCTTTCTAAGGCAGTTCTCTAATAGGGATGCAAGATCAGAAAACAAGAACTGTTAATTTACAGAAAGGGGTGGGGGGATTGGTCTGGGCTGTATCATCCCCTCCTCATTTATTTTAGCAAATAAAACCTTTTAGGTACAAGAGTGACCTCTCTAGAGCAGAGAGGTGCAAAAAACCCAAAGAAACACATTTCTAAACCTGTTCTTCTTTTATGTTTACGGAAGGTGGGCTGGGTGCACTGACGGGTCCTGGGCTGGCCAGTCTCCTTGGAAGTGGGGGACCCCCAACCAGCAGCTCATCATCAAGGTAGGATCCCTGTCTGGCCTGGGCTTGTACTATTTTTGTAAAGTTGCTGCTTTTGTGGGAGGAATCGTGCCCTACTGAACAGGAAATGTGATGGGAACTGTTTATTGCCTCTCTAAAATGAGGGTAGGAGCTCTTCATATTGGAATAGCCTGAAAAAGAAGCTTTTCAAAATACAAGAAGCAAAGCTGTTTTTTGCAAGGAATTAATTATACTAATTATCTCCTCCAGCTCTCGCAGCCAGTCAGCTGCTGTGACACCATCTTCCACCACTTCTTCCACCCGTGTAACGCCTGCCCCGACCGTTCCTGCGGCTGCGGCTGTCACCAGTCCGAGCCCTGTTCCCAGTTCGGGTAATGGAACCAGCTCAGCCACCAGCCCAACCCAGCCCATTCAACTGAGTGACCTTCAGAACATTTTAGCTACTATGAACGTGCCAGCTGGAGCAGGAGGACAGCAAGGTAACAGTGTTCTGACCAGGCAGCTGTTGGATCCAGGAGTCCATTGGAGCTGTTTTACTGTCCTGTCCTGTTCCAAATGGGTTTGAAAGGTCTCTTAGATTGTTTTTTTTGGGGTTTTTTTTTTTTCATTTGAGTGCTGTTCTTGGCTGCTTCAAGATTCTTACCCTCACTCCAAAACTGAGGGAGGGAGTAAGGATGCTAGCAGTGTGCTGTGTCTCAGTGCTCCTCTGACTAGATCATTTGTTTTACATGATGAAACGGGGGGTTTTGTGCACAGTCTAACAATCATTTATTTTCTTCCTAGTTGACCTGGCAACTGTCCTGACTCCCGAGATAATGGCTCCCATCCTGGCCAACGCTGAGGTTCAGGAACGATTGATGCCTTACCTTCCCTCAGGGGAATCTCTGCCGCAGACTGCAGAAGAGATTCAGAACACCCTGACGTCTCCTCAGTTTCAGCAGGTAGATGCCTGGCTGTCCTGGGAAGTGCACTTCTCCTTCCCTCCTCCCCCGTGCGTCATGATCTGCCTTGCCCTGCTTTTTCAGGTTCCTGACACTGTTCAGAGTAGGAAGTTGCTCAGTAGAAGTGGAGAGGAGGAGGGACATGGTTTAATGAAGCACTGGTTCTTCCTTCCTGCAGTCACCCAAGGGCAGAACAGAATGGTTTTTACTTTTTTTTTTAATTTTAATTTTTTTTCTTAGTTTTTTAGTTGGGCTTTACCTCTATTATAAATGCTCTCTGTTAAATGAAAAGTAGCAAATTCATTATTCCTTGTCAGAGCAGAGTGGCTTATCAGCCATCTCCTTAAAGGTCATTTCAAGTGACAAAATGCATGGAAGGAAAGAGAAGAGATGCTCATGGCACAGCACTACATCTCTTTTTTTCTCTTGAAACACTTAAGAACTTAATTCCAGGACAGTCTGCCTGTGATTAAAACTGGTGTATTACAGGCCAGTTGGAACTAGTTACACTGATTGAAATTTGTCAATTTGCAGAATTCCAGTGGCTCAGATGACTTTTTAGTTTAAACTACAGCAACTCTTTTGTGCAGACAAGGCTTGGAAGTGAGGGATGTTTTTAACTGGTGATTTGATTGATAGAGTATCTGTATCTAGATAGAAGTTTTTCCGTGCCACTAAGCCAGGTGGAATTCATGTCCCTGTGGTGTGGTGTGTTGCTCAGTGTCACAGGGTTTATCAGCCTGTGTTTACTGGCACTGAGCTGGTTAATCCTGACTGCAGGATTTGCTCAAGGCCTGTGGTGTAGCAGCAGTTTGAGGCTGCCCCAGGGTCCAGCAGTTTGTAAAGGACAGTGGCCGCTCCCAGGCTGGCTGTGATGGAACAGGGCTGCTCTCCTCACACGGGTGTTGCACAGAAGCCACCTGATGCTGGAGAAACACGTTGCAAACAGGGTTTTTTTTTGACACTGTTGACTCCAATTCACAGGCATTGAGCATGTTCAGTGCTGCCTTAGCTTCAGGACAGCTTGGCCCACTAATGAGTCAGTTTGGCTTACCCGCAGAGGCAGTCGATGCAGCAAATAAAGGAGGTGAGTACTGGTGCTGTTGGGAACATGATGTGGTTTTGGGTTTGGTTTGGGGGATTTTTTTTGTTGTTGTTGTTGTTTGTTGTTTGGTTTTTCTTGCACTGCACACAGCCATTGAATGTGAAATGTAATGATGAGCTGCTGAGTAACCCAGCAGCTGGCTCTTGAACTGTTCTTTTTTCACAATGAAAAGGCGAGTGGTGCAGGTGTCCCCAGCAGGCACAGTGTGATGTCAGATGTGCATTTAGAGAAGTCAGGGCTCTGCAAAAGCGATGTGCTGAGCTGCCTTGGCTTTGTTTTCTTGACAAGAGATGCAGAAGACTCTGGTGATGTCATAGCCACCTTGTTCAGGAATGCTGTCTTTGTGGGAGTCTTTAATGAGTCATTTGAAAGAAGTGCACAGCTGTGGCCTGTAGCACTAGAGGGAAGGGAGAGGATCACTTCTCCCTGATGAGCTTTTAGCATCCATACCATGACTGAAGTCATTCTGGTCTTAGGCTTCCTGTGCACAGAGTTCAAGTGCAGAAAACACTGGCTATGTCAGGAAGAGCCAAATGTGGGTTATATATTAAAGGAATGCTAAAATTTTCTTCCCTGCTAATAGATTCTTACTAAAGTAACTGTTTATTTTCGACGTAATGAAGCTTAACTTCATGTGGACCATAAACTCCATCCCAAAAGTGTAAAGTTAAAATAACTGATGTGTTTAACTTCTAGATGTAGAAGCGTTTGCCAAAGCAATGCAGAACAGTGTCAAGTCAGACCAGAAGGAAGGAGACTCTAAGGACAAGAAAGATGAAGAGGAAGATATGAGTTTAGATTAAGTTATTTGCTCTTCCTTACAGATATTCCTAGATACTAACTTAAGCAACCGCAGTAGGATTACTAACTTCATATTATGCTTATATAAATCTACAAATAAAGGAATTTTCTTTATCTGCCATATTGTTCTTTCTCAGTCTCTTTAACGTGCACTTGAGCAGTACTTGCTCTTTATTTTCAGTGGAGTTACTTGCTGTTTGGGTTTGATGCTTCTGACATCACCCTAGACTAATTATTCTGATTTCCTTGTGCTAGAAGGGTTGAGCCCTGCAATTGTATGAGTGATGAGCATCTCAAGGACACATTGCTGACCACTATCTGGTTTTTGGGCCCATCAGGTTGGGATCTGTCAGGGCTGCCAGCTCACCCAGTTATCCCACATGTACTGCTGCAAGGGTTGTCCTGTCCTGCGTGCAGGACTTCACCTTTGAACATGAGTTTCACCTTCATGAACATGCAAGTGCTACCACCACAGCTGGCACAGGAGGAATTAGGGCAGTAGCTGCTGGCAGCACTTCTGCTTATGGCAAATACAACTAAAACATCCCTATTGTGCTGCTTCCTGAGGGGGTGATTATTCCTCTTCCAGTTCTACATCAGGCTCAGAGTTGGTCTGCACCAGTAAAGTGAAAAGAGAGTAACATAAAACTTTATTCGACTCCAAAGTATGTACCAGTGATTTACAAAGACCATCTTTAATACTACAACTTAAAAACAGATCATAATTACAGTTGTTTAAGGTGGACATGTTAAAAACCCATTTTACAATATTTACCCCTTATAAAAAAAACCCCCAAACCCCACGATATAATGATATAAGTTATAAGTCCATTTCAGAAGCAAGATTTTGTCCCCAAGTGGCTAGATATATATATATATATATATACATACACACACAAATATATATATGACGTGTAAGTGCACAAGTGAACTAGGTGTCTTGGGAGAAAACTGTTGTTTTCAAGTGAGTCTGCACTACACCAGGCAGGAGTGAGGCTGAGCAGGAGGAGGCAACTGCTGGCCAGGTGGGCCAGAGCCAGGTGCCACCTCCCACCCAGCCAGACTCGGAGGTAATGACCTTTCTTTGTTTCTTCCCTTTCAAGCAACTGTTTCTTGCTTCACACAACAGGACTTTAGTCAGTGTATGTACCAGTGCTGAATGCAACTGCAGAGGCAGAGCTGTCTGTGTGTCTCTCTACTATCCCTCAGCCTATTTTGTTCCTTATTTTTTTTATTCTTATAAATTAATCTGCTAAGAAGATGCTAATTCTGTGAACAGAATTTTGTCCAAGTCCTCCCATTGCAGAGCTCTTTGTGTAGCAGTGCCAGGTGAACTGAGACTGCCCTTGTGTGGGGGGGAGGTTAAATGTGTCCCTTGCTTATAAAAAACACAAAAGGGACGGAATTAATCCAGTTTGTCCTAATTGCATTTATTATAAACCAGAAAGTGGCTCCAGCCTTTAGCAGAAGACAGGCTGGGACTGTTATTAATAGCCTCAAGTGTTCCGTGAGCTACATCTACGTGCGTTGTAAGTGTGGGGTAAAGGGAACAGGATTTAGGACACGCTGCACAGCTGCTTCAGCCCACGCTCTGCAGGGGACAGCTGCTCTTACCACGAGCCACGTGGCAGCACCAGTCCTGTTGCAGATGCTTGACCACCAGGGAAGGACACAGACCTGTCACCACATCCTGCTCCAACTTTTTGGTTATATTTGTGAACGATGTCCCCAAAGTGCCCGCTTTTCCTCCCCTGCCCTCCTTCCCCTTTGGATTTGTGGCCCCTCTCTGGTTTTGGCCCCAGACTTGGCACCTGCAGTCGCTGGAGATCAGGTACGTTTGACCACGGTTAATGCCATCGAGTAGGTGACATCTGGGGCCCAAGGAGCAGCGCAGGGTTCTGCTGGTCAGGCTGTACACGGAGGTGCACTTACTTACAGCACGGGGCAACCCTTAAGGCCAACAGAGCCCCTGACAGTCCCCACTCGTGGCAGGTCCACGTGGCTCCGGTTAATCACCAGGTTCCTTATACAGCCCACGAAATGAGGGAGGGGAGGTAACGGTGACACCGTGCTGGCCGTGTCTGTCTCTGCAGAAGGAACACGTGAGCATTAGTCTGGCTAATGAGAGAGCAGGGGACAAGCACCTCCATCCTGCACCTGGAACAGCACCTCTTGGCTTCGGGGTACAGCCTGCTGGAGGGTGACTTTCCCAACTCACCTGGCAGCCCCCCCATGTAGAAGGTCGCCCTTGTGCTGGGTGCAGGAGGCTGGTTGGGTCCTACTGTGTAGTTGCCTTCTGTGTCCACATCAACCTGGATGACGTTCTTCCATTTGGTAACTTGGAAAGAAAACAAGAGTCAGTGCTGCTTCCTCACCTGGAAAGCAAGTCCATCCCCACCCTCTGGCACAGACCAGTGCTGGAGCAGAGAGAACTACTGGGAGGGTCAGAGGAGCTGGCCTGGACCTGGAGATCCTTCCCCAAAATCTGTCCTTTGGCCACAGCAGCCACCCATAAAGCACAGTGTGAAGAGAGCCACCCTGTCCCCTGGTGGGACAGCACACGCTGGGCATGAGGGGCTCCAGCCACAGATGGGGAGAGGTCCTGAAGCTGAAAACGTGCCAGGAGCACATGCTGGCTCTCACCTGGTGCTGGGTTGAGCAAGATGAGGGCTTCAAGCAGAGCTGTGCTGAGACAGGGGCTGTAACTGTGACCCCAGAAAGGGCTCGATGCAAAACCCAACCTCTTGGTCAACCCCAAACACAGAAAGGTTGAGTTTCACCCACACAACTGAATCCAGCAAAGCCCTGGTCCCAGCTGCAGCCTGGGAGCCCCCTGGCCACCACCTGCACACATTGGGCTTTTGCTTGCAGCAGGACAGCCCTGGATGGAGCCGAGGGCAGGACTGGCCCAGCAGGACCATGGGACATCCCCGTGACCTGGGGAAACAGGCTGCTTCTGCTGCCTCCAGACCTGACAGCACTAACGAGATCAGGCAAGGACTCCTAATTAGGAAATAAGTTAATAGCAGCTCCAATCTCCCCAGTTAAGTGTGTACAGGTGGGAGCTGGAGTTTAAATACCCGAGGAAGGGCCCTGGGCTCCCTCCAGGAGATGTGGGCTGAGCAGCAAGAGGGGAGCAGCGTTCCAGAGCCAAGTGCTGGCTGTCACCTCACCTGCGATGGTGTGCCACTGCCCGTCACAGAGAGATGGGCCCGTCACTGATGCAGAGAACTCCTCAGCCCCGGCGTTCACTCTCACAGTGACCTGGTGTGTGAGACAAACCCGTTAGAGCCCAGGGAGCTGGGCAGGATGGGCAGGAGATGCCCGCTGCCTCTGGAAACCTGTGGGGAAGCCACCCCTCCATTACCTTCGTCTCCTCCATGTACAGCAGGAGATGGCGGCTTCTCCTCGTGCCAATGTGGAAGATGAGGCCAGAGGCACTGCGGGGACGGACCTCCAGCGTCACCTCCAAGTCCTGCTCGGTTGCCACTGCATCAGCTGGAAAAGAAATGTTCCTGGTGAGGAGGGGAACGAGGGACATGCCATGAGATGTGTCCCTCCCAGGGCTGTGGGACCCAGCCTGGGCTGCTGTGGGTTACCTAGAATGACAGACCCGCCATCCGCAGCGAAGAAGACCCCACTCTCCAGTGCACCCTCGTAGCACGGCGTCACCCCAAAGGTGCGTGAGGGGGAACCCAGTGGCCTCCCATCCAGCTGTGGGTTCCTCAAGCAGCCATCGAAGCTGGAGGCTGATGCAACCTGTGGAGAACAGCCACCAGAGTGAGCATGGAGGGGCCAAAAAGGGGCAGGCGTGGGGCAATGCCATGGGACCACCAAGTCCTTACCGGTATGTGAGCTTTGGCTTTTCCAGCTGGTATCCCCCCCACATATAAGGGGGTCCGGGCCACAAAATGCCCCTTGGTGGCCACTGCAGCATCCTGGGCTCGTAGCCCA